ACTTCCAAAGCACTGAGGTCCTGTTCCATGATCTGGACTCCTAAGTGCAAGTGATAAATAGTACCAGGGTTTTTTTACAGTGTTTGATTAGACTGGCTGTTTCTCGCCTGACAGTCCCTTTGAGTTTGTCTTCTGGTTACGTTTTCTGCCTGGCACCAAGGAGAAACTGTAGCTAGTTGACCTGGCAGCTATGCTTTTGCTGCCTGGTGTGAGGAACGAGTCTGGTTGTCCCTATCTCCAGGGGAATCCACTGCCTCCTTATTTGCTGCTGGATATATCACTTCTGTGAGCTGTAACTAGAATGATACCCTCCTTTCCTAAGTTTCAGAATAAAAAGCAAATTTATCGAGTCTTGAAGGGTCAGGAGTAGGTAGGCAACTTTTGTAGGAGCCTTTGTCCTTGGGTCTGCCTGTTTTGATGACCATAGTAGAGCTGTGGTCTTATGCTGTCCCTCATGGTGTGCGGTGGAAGGTTTCTTTTTGTTTATCCCTGACAGTTCGTTACCAATTGACTTACTGAACAGAGATCTCGTTTAAAATTGCAGATGTTCCTGTAATCTTTCAACAATATCTGACTGCTATATGGCTCACTGTGTGGTCATGCTAGGTTTTACTCTATAACTCGGTCTGCAGCATAGGTGTTTTGTCCATAGCTGCAGAATTATTTCTTATTTCTGAGTGCTGTATTAGAAAAACACCATGCTTTCTACGGATTATTTTAGGTAAAAGACTATGACTACTAATGGATACGTGCAACTTCATTAAAGCTAGCTAAATTGAACAGATTGAATTGTTAAAGCTCAGAAATTGGAAGTTACACTGATAACTCATTCAAATATTTTCATTTACACAATGATTTGTGGGACAGTAAAGTTTGCTGTACATTTTATTTTAGCCATTTGCTACTGTGCCATATTATTGATTAGCATGGAGGCCTAGCTTCATCATGTCAGACTTCAGCCTCTGATTGACAGAAAGATGTTGCTTGTTAGGGAATTTATCTCAGTTGTCTTCTGAATTGCTTACCAACAATCCTCATATCTCCATGTTGACAACACAGGTAACTTGAGCTCCTTCATTCAGGCACTTCTAAGTTTGAGAAGTGTATAATGGCTCTTTTTTCTTTATTTCATTTGTGTCTTGTTCTTAAATGAAGCAGATTCTGACACCACGATGTGACTCCATGAGATAAGGCTCCACTATTATGATGTAATACTACAGTGCTGAGTTTTAGCAGCACTGGTGTGGACCTCCAAAACTAAGAACTCCCTGATGACAGAACATTTCATTCCAAGAGGTTGCCTTCACAACCTGTGTGTTGTGATATTTATTAATGCTACACCAACCAGGAGAATTAAAACATCTCCAAATAGAACTCACATCAAGCAAAAGCTTGATGGGAAGCTGGCAAAAATATCCAAGTGAAAATTTCTCTCAGCGAGATGCAATTTAAAACGTCCTAGAACCCAGGAAGCTGCATCAGATTGCAGTTTACAGCCAAAACCCACTCCTGGGGTTTTGAAAATTGACAGCTGGTATATACTTTATTTTTCAAACATTGGCTTGACGGGAGACAAACCACCTTTTATATAAGGTGACAGGTTAAATCTGGGCACTAATCTTGGAAGAGGAATCCTGAGCACAAGTTCTTGTTTGCAAGGCATGTCTGGTTTTGAAATTTATTCATTCACTTCCTAATAAAAAATATAAAGACTGTCCTGGGATCAAAACCCAAAAAGTCATTCTTGTAGGGAAGATCTAAATGCTTCATGTCAACAGATGCAGATTTGAATTCCTTCAGGTTGGATAGCCTTAGGCTGGTAGCCTAAGGGAGTACACTCACCTTTGAGTTTCTCTTGTAAAATACTGTTGCATTGCTTTTTCCTCCAGCAGTAGATTTGAATAAGGCCAGTTGTGGGTGATTTTTGTAAAAGACAGTGCTGTTAGCACATAAGTCATTTTCTGAGAGTTCTTACTGGGTTGAGTCTTAGGTATACAAATCTAGATTTGTCCTAGGTACATGCAGAAACAGCATTTTAGGTGTCACGGCTGCTTTACTGGAGCAAATGTAAGTGCTTACAGATTTTCAGCCAGCTAAGATGGTGTCTGAGGCAGGGCTTTAGACATCACTCTTAACTTAGAAATATTCAGTTTCCACCTGAGCCCCAGGGAAGATGCCCATTTCAGAAGTCCCTTTCTGAGTAATTATTTCCTTAGAGTAACTGGAGGCTGCGAAATCACCCTAGTCATTGTCAGGTGCTGATTTTCATTCATGAATACTCCCCACATTGGTGGAATTATTAGCCTGCTTTAAAGTAACATATACTTAAATGATTTTTTGACTGAGAGGTTAGACCAGGCAGAATTGCATCCTAATGTACTGGATGAATGCAAACCCTATCCAAAGCATCTGTACATGCCAAAGATACGTGACAGGACAAGGAATAATGTTTTTAAACTAAGGAAGCATATATTTAGACTATATATAATGATGAATTTTTTTTTTTAAATGAGGGTGGTGAAACACTGGCACAGGTTGTCCAGAGAGATGGTAGAGGAGCTGTCCCTGGAAACATTCAAGGTCAGGTGGATGGAGCTCTGAGCAACCTGATCTAGTTGAGGATGTCCTTTTACACTGCAGGAGTTTGGACTAGGTGACATCTAAAGGTCCTCTCCAACCCAAAGCATTCTATGATTCCGTGTGATTCTGTGAAGTGAAGGAGGGAAGAACCAGGTTTGATTCAGAGGTGGGATATGATCTGAAGGAATCTTGTGTCCGTATCCTCATGGATATTGTTTGGGAAAACACACATTTACGGGCAGCCAACCATCTCTAGTACAGAGGAGCATGGAGAGACAAACAGCTTTTGTTTATAGCAAAAAAAAAGTGAGTATTGGCTAAGAAGTAGTGTTTATGGTAATTGAGCTTTACAAGGAAGTAAAACTTAGTGGGGAACACAGGGGGTAGCATTTGCAGTGAAGCAGGTAATAAGGAGAGCTGTGTAGGCATTTCCTGATTAGCATCTGCTGTTTCAACTGCCGAGGAACATGACTTGCATGTAAATACTCCTACTAGGCTTTAACAGGCTTTCCCTCTAGCATGCCACCCTGCCTTCTGCTTTTATTTTGAGTCTCCCTGAGCCCTACTGTGATTTGAAATCAGTGGAGGGGAAAGGAGAGTAACACAAACAACAGACGTCTCAAAGTCTTGGAACAGAGAGAAAAAAAGCCCTGTGACAGAGGAGGAGGCGGTGCAGTTAAGTCCTGTCATTAAGCTTCTAGTGCCTCTAGTACAGCCTATATTTGCATTTCTGCACATGTATATAATAAATGCAGCTGTGCACGTAAGTGGTAAAGAAGTAGTAGTACAAAAAGATGACTGTTGCACACATCAGAGAATATTTCTTGCATCCTGTAAATGAGCATTACCTGTAGATACAAAGTGTACCTGCTCACACAGACAAAGCAACCTATTTTAGGGCAGCTTCACAAATTATTTCCCAGCTGCTGCAGTAACTGCTTTTAGTCTGCTGCTGGATAAAACACACTAAGTCTTTTTATTTGAGATTAAAAGTTGCTCCATAATTGAGAAAGCCTATAGCACACCTGCTGTCTGTCAAAACAGCTTTGCCTACAGGTAGTAATTTAAGTCATGGCAATACTAATTCTGCGTACCCCATAACATTGGGATAACTTGGTTGTGGACTGACATTTAGCACAGATACAGAAAAGCACTTCATCTGTGCTTGCTGTTATGGGGAACTGTGTCTTTAAGAACTTTGATTTCCAGAGAGGAAATCTGTGACAGAAACAGCTGTGAACAGCTGTGAATTTCTTACAGTATGTAGGCAGCTAGGGATGGCACAGAGACCCTGAAAACATGTTACCTGCTGAGTGTTAACTCAGTACTGCATGGGGCCAGGAGCAAAAAGAAATGGAAAAAATAATAAAGAAAAATACTGTGAATGGAGATGTGAAAATATATGATGCTTCCAGATTTTTACTTCTTGGGAAAGATAACTGAAAGAAATATTAAAAAGAGAATTCAAGGATGAGAACTTTGTGCTCTGAAAGTTTAGCAAGCTGCCTTCCACTTTTCCACATCTACCTCCTCCTTTTATGTTGTCTGTCTTCCACAGGTTTCAGCAGATGGGTCCAAAGACAGAAAATCGCGTTCACACAGAATCCTATTTTATCATGATATTTTAAATGTAATTTTATTTGCTTATTAACTTGCTGGGTTTGTTTGAAGGATTTTGGTAATTTCTTTCTCAGAATATGTTCACACTGTTTATTTTGCTGCAGTTACTTGTGCTATTCAAAAAATATTTAAAATATTATTTGACTACTGGGCTACAGAAGTTTGCGCTTAGGTTAACCTTAGTAAAGAGGTTAGGAAAACTGCTCTGTTACTGAAATGGACTTCTGAAAAACATTCTAGTTTTGGGATGAATGCTGAGGATGTCAGTAGGAATTATTTTTCTTTATACAGATATTTGTACATCAAAAGAATGTTTTTCTGTGGTGTTTCAGGCCATACAGACTCTAGGAAATTATATATATTTTAATATGTTGGTAGTGGCATTTTGAAAGCATCAAATATTAGTTGTTATAAAGCACAGAGGGAGTTTGTTGCATTTAGTATATTAAAATGGAACAACTTTTTTCATTAATCCTATTTTACCATAGACTTCCTTAATCTTTACAAGGATATCCTATCAGAAAAATAAGGAAAAAGAATAGTATGCCTGTATTTTAAATAGTGGTTTTATGCCTGTGTCACTTCCTCTCTACGGTATAAATATGCTATCCCTGTTGCACAGATGGGAAAACAGAGGCATCCACAGGAGGTGAAATACTTCACCTGAAGGTCCAGAGGAAGACAGATCTCCGGGTCTCAAAGCAGAACCTTATTATAAGTCTTATATTAAACTTCTCAAGAGTAAGTCAACAAAACAGAAGCTGCACTTAAGCGATATCATGTAACATTTATTTTTCTTTCCACAGGAACTTTTTACACCGGAGTGCAAATTCAAGGAGTCTGTTTTTGAAAATTATTATGTAATCTACTCATCCATGCTCTACAGACAACAGGAGTCCGGGAGGGCCTGGTTCTTGGGGCTGAACAAAGAAGGGCAGGTCATGAAAGGAAACAGAGTGAAGAAAACAAAACCAGCAGCTCATTTTCTACCCAAGCCATTGGAAGGTGAGGTTCAGTCCATCGCTGGCATATCCTCCTATAAATTTCACAAGAAGAAGAGGGAATGGTTTCTAAAATGCCCTTAGGGAATATACGTGCCCTGCACAGAGGCCATTCCAAATGACAGTCCCCAGGATTCATGGACCAGTTTTGTGCTTCGGCATAGTGACGCTAGAAAGGGCACATGTAAAAACATTTTTTCCAGGGATTAAGAGGTCATATTGCAAGAAAATAAATTGGTTTTGGAAGTGCATTGTGCTGTTTTTAAAATATACTCTCGGTAGGGACAAAAGCTGCTTTGAGTCTTGCAGTAAGAAAATAGTCCTTTCATTAAGCAGAATCAAATAATGGATATTGTAGGATAATTGGGAGTTATAAAGGGAATGGATGAAATGTCAGCATTTCAAAGTAAAAGCTTTCTAATACAAAACGTAAAGGTTTCTTCATAAAATAAATCATACTCTATTACTTAGCCAGTTGATGTAATGCATATAACTTGTGTGAGTTGGCCTTTAAACAAAGATAGAAGCAAATAAAAGTCATACTAACCTTACACACTAAAATGATGTCACACATTCTCTAAAAAATATCCTGGAACTTTGGGATTATCCTCTGTATTCTGCAGGCCTTTATAAACCTGCGCTGCTTTTTGTTTCTTGTCCTGATGGCACTCCATATTCTTTGATATTATTGCTACACATAACCTCAGTCATTCTGAAAATTCTCATTACCCAACATCTGAAAAAATACATCTGAGTAATGCCTTAGTTAGCAGTCCCATTTCTTTCAACATTTTTACTTAAAATTTTTGATTAAAGGATCAGTTTGTTAAATGTTTCACAGTTTCATCCTAAGGAAAGAATTTGAATAATCCTGTGTTTTACCTTCAAATTTGAACTCAGGTTGATGCCTTCGTGCGTTCCTCATCTTGCAAAAGCTTACAGTATTTTCATGAGACTTTATATGTCAATCCTTTTATATTAAATTATAAGAATTGTAGGAAGGGAAAGCCTGTGCATTGTTAAAAGCAACATCAATTCATGTGGATTAGGAAAGAAGTTACTCTTTTCATTAATGTTTGGATGGTCAGACTATCAAAATAGCTTAGACAAGGCTTAGAAATAACTTCCTTTACTTTGCCCATGAGAGTCATCAAATACGACAGATCTGCTATATAATTCCTTACTTTATAGTTTCATCTCATGTTATTCAACTTAATATTTTTGTAGGTCATGGTGTTATTTTATCAAGCTCTTTTAATTAATCAGCAAAATGTCCTAAACGCAGTTATGAGGGTGCTCAGAAGGCATAGATCATAACCAGCCTTATGAACTCTAGAGAAGACGTTTAATTTCAGACTTTCAGAAGCCATAAAAGGATTTAGATTATGTCATTGGAAATGTTAGAACAAGGATTCGATTAGTTAATGATGCTATGGGGCCCTTCATATTTATTATGAAACTTCACACCATTGAAGATCAAGGTCAGTACTTGGAAGCTCCTGCCTCCTGGTCTAATTAGCCAAGGGATGAAGGGATTGTGCTCTCTGTGGCAGCACACAGCCAGTCCCGAAATCATAGTGTGATGATTAATTCCTGTGACTGCTTCGACATCTCTTTTAACATTGCTGTGATATAAATGAATGCTACTGAAGTTAGGTATAAGTGGAAATATTACCTGATTCAGTGACATGGAAAATGAAATTGAATTATCCAAGAGCATTAATCATTAAGGCAGCTTAATCCTGTAGCTGTGTAATTGAACACATGTATTTTCCTCAAAGGATTTAAAGTGGTTAGATAGGGACTGAAGCCCATGGGCAAACTTTTAATTCCTTTAAGATTTCATGTGTTACTTTAATTTGGAGTTTTCTGCACTTCTACATTTGGTGAAGATCAGTGGCTACTGCATACATTTTTGGAAAGGAGGAGGAAAAAAACCTCAAACATCTTCTGTACTCTCTGTAGCACTGTCCTGGACATTTCTTTAGTACACACCTGAAGAGAACATGGTCAAGGTCTTCAGATTTGGGAGACTGATGTACAAATAACTTTGTAGAACTGGACCCTTGCGATGTAAGACTAAAAAAGAACACTGAAGTCTAGACGACTGTATTGCATGATCCCATTTGTTTAACACCATCTGTCTCATCATATTTTACTTCTAAAAACTTGCAGAATATTTACTTAAGGGGTATATGTATATACACATATGTGTGTGTATATATACATATATATATGTACATTTTTATGTGTCTGCCTCATGCAAAGACAGAACAGTAGTTTTTAATTTCTGAGGCTTCTATACTTTCCATTAAAGATGTAAGCGTACAGTTTCCTACTGTGTTCTTAGGTCAAATATGGAAGAAGTGAGAAACTTGGAGGGTCAAGCAAAGCTATCAGTCATGCAAAACAAAGGTCTCTCAAATAGTTTCCCTCGCATGCAAGAGGAACATGGATTTTATTACAGTATCAGTTATTGTAGCAAATTAATCCTATTTGAGTTCTTAAATGGGATACATTCTTAAAAAATGTCTCTCCTTTTCTCTTTTCTCCCCTCAGTTGCCATGTATCGAGAACCATCTTTGCATGATATTGGAGAAACAGTGCCAAAGGCTGGGGTAACTCCAAGTAAAAGCACAAGTGCATCTGCAATAATGAATGGCGGCAAACCAGTTAACAAGAGTAAGACGACATAGCCAGATCCTCACAGGTGTTGTGACTTACTAAGTCCTGAGTACAGTTGAGCGATTTATCCGTGCCAAACTTCCCCTCTGCAGTGTCTGTGGGTCAGCTTGTGGCAAGCCACAGGCTTGTCCGTCGTTGTTTCTGAACTGAGTTGTCGCAAGCGGATAAATCTCAACATGTAGCTCCGCCCACAACAAGAAGACACCTGGATGAACCAGCTAAACTCAGACCATGGAATGCCCTACCAGATATTGGAATGCCTTTTTAATATCTTTTCTGTGACTGTGACACTTCATGTGAATGACATACTTCACAAGTACACTTGATACCTTGCCTGCTGACAATTGCCCATAATCCCTTTTTGAGTCCAGTTTCAGCAAAATCCATGTGTTTAAGTTCTATTTTGTAGCACACAAATAATCAAGTAATTTCTAGTTAGATGCTGTAAACCTGTGCTATTATGGATTTCTCTTCTTCCCTTTTTTATAAGGCTGCTCACTCCACTGTCTGTGACCTTTTGCAGGGATTGTGTTTCTCTATAACTTAAGTGTTGCCGGTGGCTTAGTTTCGAAAGCAATCAGGGAATCAGGAAGCCTTCAAAAATCTATTATTACAAATTATATCTATAAAGAATAGGATTGTTGTCTCTGGCTTACAATATTGATTAAATGTGAATACTCTTTAGCAACAGATACTGTGCTTCTGAGGTTGGCATTATAGCGGAAGGAAGATTGTCAAACACAACCAATAGGATGTTCTCTGAAGCGAGTGTTTGGCATCCCCCTATAGTTTCTTTTTGTGTGTGTGTTTTATACATATCACAGGCTTACTGGTAATGGTAACATTTGCCTTGCCCAGCGAGCAAGACCCACTTATTTTTGGGAAAGTGGGTCCAAAGAATTTTGTAGGCCTTGTAGGCCTGAATTAAGGCTCATTTTTCATCTACTAAATCTTCATTATTTGAAAAACCACCACCACCAATAAAAAAAATAAATAAGACTAACCAGAATTGCGCTACCTAAATCCATTTCAAATATAATCCTTTCCTGTTTTTAAGGAACTGAACTTAATGCCATGGTTATTTTTGGCTGAATACCACACCTACTTAGCAAAGCATGGGCAAGGATGTTGTTGTGTTCTTTTTTGCAGCACCAATGCAAAGGGTAGTTACAAATTATAGTTTAATATTTCTGGTGTTTTAAAAAAAAGTTTTAAAAATGAACATGTTACAAAACTTTATTTTTATTTTTAGCTAAGCATGCAAAGTCCAGTCCTATGTATCTCACCGATATCCCAGTACATACCTCCACTCCGCTTCCTAGGAAAATATGCCCACCAAATTGCTAGATTTAAGGTGCCTTGCCTTGATCTCTGTATACTGTACTTTCTCCTACATGAACCTAGAAGAAATCAGAAACATTATAAAATTGAAGCCTTGGATCATATTACCAGAAATGCAATCAATACTTTGAGTTTGTCACTTGTGAACAATTAAACTAATGTTGGTGGCGAAGGGGAGAAAAAGGGTTAGAGAATGCCACAAAGGTGCCACTGAAGTGCTGAACACTTAGTCACAGGCTTTCAGAAGACTAAAAATATGGGTAGTCTCTGTATGCTTACAAAGGTATTTGTTTCTCAGAAAGGCAACAAGGACCACACTGCACCTCAGTCTGGAAAACTGTGTGGCAGTGCTCTCTTGGCCTCTTGCTGTTACTTTGATTTTTAAAGACAAGAAAAGGAAATAATCCCTTCCTTTTTTGGCATTGAATTTCTTGCAATTTGTTTTATCAAGTCTGTGCTGAAGTCCCTAACTGAGACCGCTGGTTATTTCAAACAGCCTGTTTGCTCAGCTGAACAACTGGTTCAGTCTGAATGAACTCTTCATGCTAGTTTTCAAACATGTTCTGTTTTTATAAGGCAACATTCATGTGTTCTCTTCATGGAAGCTACTGTAAAGCTGCTAAATTCTAGATTTTTTTTTTTTCCATAGGCCAGACTTCCTTGTTTATGCATCTGAGAACAGCAAGCTAACACTTCAAGTTGGGTCTTTCTAGGGAGGGAATGAGTTAAGCATGAAGCCCACTATCGATGTAGAGAAAAAAAAATACAAACCTAGTCTAATACTGTGATTAAAAAAAATGCAAAGAAACTTTGACTTCGACTGTGTCCTTGCCTGCTAGCACAAAATATGTGTGTGTGGGAAAAACACTTTATTAAAAACTTTGGTGCACCCTTCTCATCCCATCTGGTCCAGTGGGATTTGTGCACCATCCCTGAGAAAACAAAATAAAACCAAAGCAACTCATATGATGAGCTGAGGGCTTCGTCTGTATGTGGAGAGGACCCATGGGAGGCAGCATCCTGTATGCTGTAAAATGTTCTGGGTCCCAGAGGAGGCCCCAGTGTTTCCTACAATTATAGGAGGAACAATTCACAATATTTTAAGTAAGCTAATACAGCTGAAGGCTACATTATCTTTCTCTCTCACCTGAATTTCATAAGAGTTCATGAGGAGGGAATACATGTGTTCATGTCCCATCCAGCTGTCTTTTTAATCTCCCAGTGTAAGAGCCTGAGGAGAGACAGGGCTGGAGACCTGGCTGAGCCACATGAGAATGTTCTGGTTCATGGCCTGATGCTATATAAGTATTGTTTTTAACGTTAAACTTTTGATCCTGGGTAATTATGATCTGTGAGCCAGCTTGGGGGCTATAATTTGGGGCAAATTGAATTTTTGTAAGCAGTTAGTATGTACTGGAAATGCAGCATTTTCTTAAATTATTTTCTGTTTTTGTTTCTATGGGCTAAATCCATGTGTGTGTTTAATACAACGAATAGATGTCCTAAAAATATTTTTTCTACAATCTGATTAAACATAGCAAAGGGGTCTTTGTGCATTGTTTCCTCCCTTTAATTTTGTCTCTTGTCTTATCTGTTGCATGGGAAGAGGATGGCAAGGATGAACTGCATGTATTAGGTTGTGTCTATCAATGAACTGTTGGTCTGTATTACTAAATTTACATACATATATGCAAAGAGTTTGTCTGCATTGTACAGTTTGTGTTTATTCTTATTTGTTGTATACACAGATTCAACATGAGGAATAAAACATTTATACGAAGGCATACTGGAAAACAACAAAAAAAGTTTATGTAAGAAGTAGACTGTGCAAAACATCATTGCACTGGCCACAGGATGGTGAAACTTCATGTAAATAGGTTGGCAAACTCAGTTCTCCCCTTTTACCATGCCAAAGAAAATTTTAGCTCCTTAATATAATACCTCTCTTGCTGTTCTCCAGGATGAGACTTCACCATTTTCTTCCCTTTAAAATTAATTTTGCTGTTAAGTCAAAGCTGTTTTCAACTGTCTGTTACTACTAAAGTACTGTATAGTAAACCTGATGGAATCAATTTGTACTTACAGATTGGGTTTTTTGTACTTACATGTCCAGCTCTCTGTGAATCTGCAGCGTTCCAGATCTTTTGCATGCTTGCTTTGTATTTTGTTCTTCTTTTAGGTTTTATCTAATATCTAAGAGACTGTTTGCACAGCAATTCAACCTCATCTTACCATTTCATATGTTAACACTGCACATAGTCTTTATCTCTTTTCTTTTTTTTTTTAAATGTGTTTCAGCTACAGATATTTGGCAAAATCAGTCACACCTGCATAGTTTTAGAAAGCCAGTTTTAAGTGGATATGAACTACTTCAGCAAAGCACCATTTTGTTGTACTTCAAAAATTTTATAAATACACAAGAATCCTTATGAGATTGCTGAAATTATGGAGCCTGTAGAAGGGTGTCTATAGCTTTTAAGTGCTTTGTAGTTCACATAACACAGCTTTTGCTTAATTTGCTGGGTTTTTTAGCCACTCTCAAGTAATTTTTTAATATACTGTCATTTTCATAAACTTTAACTTGTGTAGAGTCTTGTTGGTTCTTAAAAAACCCCTGCCCCCAAATATAAAGTAAAGCAATTCACTTTGACTATGGTGTATACCTGAAACAACACTAAGAACTCTGACTTTTTATATATATATAGGGACACTTATTTTCTCTTGGTTTAAAACCACTGTAAGTAATGAGGTATGAAATCAGGCAGTTTGGTCCATGCATTAAAAGTGTGTCTTGCTGATCCATCTGTTTATTGGTATAAAGAAGAAACTATTCAGCTTCATTCAAGTGGGAATGCAAGTAAAATTAGACTAAGTAAGAAGGTTATCTTTCTTTTAAATGCCCCTTTAGATAAACTCATAGTCTGTGCAATGTGTTTTAAAATGTCTAACAACAGGGGATTTTTTTGTGATGACTAACACAAATGCTATGACTTATTTTTAAAGATGTAATAAAATTTTTGTTCTATTACCTAGTCACAGAAATATTCAACTTAGCTTCCTTCATCCCAGCATCATTTAGCTGTATCTTTTAGCTACAAAGTGAGATGTCATTCTGCAAAGAAGCAAGGGCAGTGCATCAGAAATGTCAGAGCAGGTATATTATTAAATGTTCATCTACGTGTTTCTAAAAGTATGGCCAGGGAAAAAAGGATCACAAATAGGTTAATAATTTATGAAAGCAAATCAATCCACAATTGTTTTGTAGGTGATATTACAGATACATTATATACAATAGGCACAATCTATTGTAGAATCATTCACCACACTTCTGGATTGAGTTCTTTCTCTCATAAGAAGAAAGCAAGGCTGTAGTATCTGTTGTTTATAAGTTTTACCAATCTAGCTAGTACAAAATCCCCTCCAATTTGTTTTTGCCACCTAGAACTGCCTTTTGCCACAGGCCTAGAAGCAAGTTTTTATGGTCAGTAGGTATGAGGAATCCAGCAGTCTGTTTCACTCCCTTACACCTCCCTTACAGTTTATGTATCTGGAATTCCCACCACAGGGAAGAAGCGTAAAATCACAATTTATTAATACAGCTATTTTTTTCACATATGTGGAATAATAATCTCATTCCTTCCAATCTCATTTTTCTAGTGAGGAAATGAGCCACAAAACAGCTCTGCTGGGAGTTACATCACCAGTTACCTCAGCATGAAGAGCAGGGGGAACGTTCAAGCAACATTATAAGAAAAAGAATAAAAATTGGAAAGGAATTATGTATACATTATATTTTAGTAGTCTTAGTTAATACTTGAAGGTTTCTAGTGATAGCAACATTTTGTCTGATAATTTACATTTTAATGAAACACTGACAGTTGCTGTCTTAGAATATTCTAATATTTTTCAGTATGTACCTTAACACAAAACTTGGATAACCCTTTTGTTTAAACTATGGCTATATAATCCATCCACTAACTGAAATATTTTTTTTTGTTTGGGTTTTTTTTTTTTAATCTAACTAGAAATCATAATCATCTTACCCTCTTTAAGTATATAAATTTAAAATGAAAGCAAATTACAAAGTAAAATCCATCAAATATGATATTGCAACCCTCTAAAGAATTGTTCTTTTGTCTATGAATATGAGTACCTGAAATACCACAGCTGATCTACAGTATATATAAATCTGCTTACCATGCCTTGAAAAGAGTCAAAAGTATCTACTGAACGTAGATATGAGTTTTGATTATCTAGTATTTTCTTATTACAGTACTAAATATCAATGGAAGGCAATCAAGGAAAACTTTGTATCTTTCATTGTTTACACTCTGAGTCAGCAGACGAATGTATATGCAAAAAAACACTGCTTATAAGATGATTCAGGTCAGCGGTATTCATAAATATAAATAAAACCAACAATCTGTGCTCTCCAGACACTAGGGTTGTTAAAATGCATACATGTTAAAATTTAAGAAGATATTCCTGTTAAGCTCTACAGAGTTTAAAGGTTATAAGTACAAAATATGAACTATAATTTCAAGATGAATTTTACTTTGAAGATTCTTTATACTGTATCAATGAATTTTAGAGCTCTGCCTGATATTTTGGTTATCTAAAAAGAGAGCAGCTAGCAGCTATGGGATGTATGTGTCATTATTTATCTGCATAACTTCTGTATCAGTTATGCATGGACATTTGGTGATTATACTCCCTGAGAACATGGGTTTCACAAGCTTCGTTTTTAGAAAGAAAAAATTCAGGTTAAGGACAAAATAAATGGGTAAGGGAAAG